CGGGAGCCCGTGCCGCGCGTCCGCGGCGGGCTCAGCTCTTTGTTAGTTGAACAACTCTGGCTTGGCTGTGCTGGGACCCGGCTGGCCGCAGCATCCTCCCTTCGGGCACCATCCCAGGAAGGCTCTCCTGGCCTCGTCTCCAAAAAAGCCGAGGCAAAAGACAAATGACGCCCCCGTGCCCTAAATTCTAGTTTCCTTGCTAGTTTGTTTTGTCGTGGGTTTTGTGTATGTGTGTGTGTGTGTGTGCGCGCGTGTTATTTTGCTTTTAAAAAGTGTTTGCGGGCATGGAGTCCGTGCTGGGCTATCCGCTTTTCGGGCGGTGACTCAAGACAGTTTTCACTTAAAAATGTTAACAACAAAAAAATGTGTGGGCAAGAGTGTGACCGACCGTGCTTTCAAGTAAAAGGTTTGCAAACGTTCCCGAATGACTTGAGTTCTTCGTTGGTAGTGCACTTCAAGTTTGTCCCCATGGAAGAAGGAAATGAATTCAGAGCTGTGTTATAGACATTCCTCGAAGCCTCTTTATCAGAAATGTTTGCTGGAGACCGAAGGAATGTGGACAGCTTAACCCACAGCTTCAGTTCCATGGAGAGTTTAAGGAAACAAAGCGTTCCAACGGTTTTGCCCCTCGTTGGAGCCCTTAAACTCCCTTGGTGACTTAAGATATTCTTTAAACATTCAATACGTTTGAGAGCAAGTCTTCTGAGCATTTTATGAAGTTATAGAAGTCTTCCACCAAAAACAACTTGTCTTTCAAAAGTTTGTTTGAATTTTATTTGTCTAGCTTAAATTTAAAAAAGTTACATGTGTGGATACTGAACAAACTCCCATCCATGGCAGCCTCATAAGTTGGATCGCCTGGAAAGAGATAAAAGTAGTTAAGTTGTGAGTCGCCTGACCTGGGTGCTGGGAATCAAACTGTGGTCCATTGCCCCCAAGAGGACTGTGTGCTTTTCGCATGAGCCCTTCTTTTCGCCCGTTTGAACTAAATTAAATTAAATTCATTTGTGTGTGCATTGAAGCCTGTGTGTGTGGAGGTCAGGGGACAGCTACTTCATGTGAGACCTGGGGATTGAATTTCGGTCACTGGCATCATCTTCTTCTGAGCCAGCTCACTAACCCAGCTTGAATTTTTATGTGAAAATTCTGGTAAGGGTGTTTTTAAATACTACAATGTGATGGGTAAATTTGACCTTTGTTTTTTTAAGGAATTGTTTTTTTTGTTGTTGTTGTTGTTTTTTTTTTTTCTGTAACTGTACTCACAACTGATTCTCAAAGGCCTTTTGGCCAAGATCAGACATAGTTTCCATGCATTTGTTATTTGGGGACTTTCTGTCAAGATTTTTGAAATACTCCAAATGTGACTTGGGGGTAGGAGATTATGGTTTTCTTAGAGACTCTTAAGATCACAGTCAACTGTTGTAAGAGTTGGAAATAGAGTTATAATAAGTGGTGTTTTGGTTCTTTTGCCAAAAGCCCTAGTTGTTTGTGAAGTACTTTTAAATGTCTTGGAAAGATACTTAAAACACTTGGCAGGAAAGATGGGTGGCTCAGTGGGCAAGAGTACTTGCGAATGCCTGAAAACCAGAGTTCAGTTGCCTGAGCCCACGTGGCAGATGTTGTCCTCTGCCTTGTATATGCATGCCCTGGTGTGCACACACACACGTTTTTGCGCCCCCACACACACAGCGATAAAATTTTTTTTAAAAAATCGGCTATTTTTGAATGCTAGGAAGAAATATGTAATTAACATAAGTCAAAAGAGTGCAAATGGCGTTGGGCAAGGGTTTGAGGTAGATTAGGAGTTTAGTTTTACAGTCTTTGTGACCTTGAGAAAGTCTACTTTTTAGTTTTCTTAGCCTGTAAGATGTGAAACTTGAACATCCTTACTTGATGCTGTAGTAAACTAGTTAATACAACTTTCAAATGACCAAGGCAGGAATGTATGTAGTTAAAATTCAAGTTGCTGTTCATCTTTTAGTGCCTAGGGCAAGATGCTTTCATTTAACTGCATAGCTGTAGCTGGGGCTGTAGCTTGATGGCCTTGGTGGTGCACTTGACTGGCGTGTGCAGCAGGTTTTGGCTCTACCAGCGCTCCTCTCCAATAAATTTATTTGTAAATTTAACAATGGAATCGATGGGCTAATGTTAAGTTTAATGAAGACTCAGTTTTTCATTTTCAAAATTTTTTCTTGTAATTTTCAGTACTATTTTGAAGTCATTGTAATTATGAAACGTGTACATAATAAAATTACAGAGTCTAGTGCTCCATCATATTGAAATACTTTTTTCTTCTTTTTTTTAAATATTTATTATGTATAGAATATCTGTCTGTGTGTCTGCCTGCAGGCCAGAAGAGGGCATCAGACCTCATTTTAGATGTGGTTGCTGGGAATTGAACTCAGGACCTTTGGAAGAGCAGGCAATGCTCTTAACCGCTGAGCCATCTCACCAGCCCTGAAATACTTTTTTCATTTAACTGAAGAGTTTAGCCCAATTTCTGTAATCCTTAGCCTGTAGAAGAAATACATCTGTGGTCAAACTATTAGAGTAAATGCAGTTTCGTTACAGTGATGAGCTATCTTCTTAACTCTCTAATTGGAAATTTGTGAAGGAAGGGAAAGTAAGATTTAAAGGATGCCTTCTGTTTGACGTTTCGTGATTTAATAACTAAGTTTAAAGAAGAATGTGAATAAGAACAGTTAAAATGTGAATGGATCCTTAGCAATTGTCTCAGTGTTTGAAGGTAGAGTACCCAAGAGGTAGATGCGGGGAGCACTGCTGTGCCACTTGACCTCTAGTGAGTTCCAAAGCCAGACTCTGGAAGGAGGGAGGGAGAGGGAGAATGAGAGGGGGTGGGATTGAGATGGATTGCTTTGAATAGTTTGGATTGGATAAATAAGATACCCCGTGGTTGGTGTCACAGAGCAAAAATTCCCAAAGCTTTTGATTCACTGGATTTCATTCTTGAACAAAGCTTAATTATGGGAGGTTCATGATATGTATGTGTTATAGTTATTTTATTCTTTTGGAGTAAATAGCTTATGATTTTTAAAATTTATTTTTGAGGCAGAGTCTCACTGTATACCCTTGACTGGCCTGGAACTCAATAGAGATCCACTTTCCTTCTGCCTCCTGTGTGCTGAGATTAAAGTTGTGTGTTTCACGATGTCTAACCAGTTTATTTTTTATTGTGTGTCTGCATGTCACTGTGTGTGCCTGGTGCCCATGGAGGTCAAAAGAGGCCTCTCAGATCCTCTGGAACTGGAGTGAAAGATGGTTGTGTGGTACTGGAAACTGAACCTGGGTCTTCTTCAAAAAGCAACAAGTGCTAAGCCATTTCTCCATAAGTAGCATTCTTAAATTTAACAGGCGTAATCTTCAAGTTTATTAGTTTTTATATCTTTCTAATTTTAAGAAAGAAACTAGTCCTTCGCATACTGGGGCTTCACTTACCAAAACCAATTTATTTACAGAGATGGAGTTCCAATTTATCTTGAAGATGAAGTTTTTCAAGTGTTGTATTCCATTAATGAGTAGACAGGCAAATCAAGGATTGAATGATAATCAACTTGTAGTCCCAGCTACTCAGGAGAGATTTTAAAAAAGTGTGGAGGACTACTGGAGCCTAGGCCATCAAGTTCAGGGTGGGCAGTAGGGTGTCTTAAAAACAAATCCAGGTACAGTGGTACATGTCTGTAATCTAGTTCTAATACTCCTAAGTGGACAGAAGCAGAAAGATGATGAGTTGGAGGTTAGCCTGGGCTTCAGACTCTTATTTCAGTCAAGAAAGGTCAGGAATGGGGAAAGAGGCAGTATCAGTAAAAACTAGCCTTAGCTACATAGTGAGTTTGAGGTTAGCTTGGGTTCCAAGATAGTGTCAAAATAACAGTAACAACAAAATTTCCCTAACAGAAAGCTCCAAAAGGAAAGGGGAAAAAATGCCCAGATAACCAAAAATCATTTAAGTTAGGTAATTTGTTTGCAAATAAAGTAACTACTAAGGGTTTTCAGATTTTAATAAAGTAGACTTGTAAGGTAGTAAGACAGATGAAATTGTTGCCCCTAAGATTTCCAAGTGAAAGATTATAGCCAAATAGAAAAAAAAAGTTTGATTGGCTTGTGAGAATTTGTCCTTGAGACTACCTTTGAGTGGCTGTTCAGCATAGTTATGACCAGACAAACCTCAAGCCTGTTGGTGGGGACCCACTGAGCCTCCATTATAGTTTGACACAATTTACCTAATGAAAAGAACTGAAAAATTGTAAAAACGGATATGTATTTTGAAAGAATGGTTGGGTTTGCTTGGGTACATATACTTAGAATATTACTTTGGAGCTGGGAAATGATAGATATAGCAGAACAGGAGAGAGCCTAGCTATCGAAGAATTTGAAATGGAAAGATTGCTGTAGATGAAAAGATTTGAAAATGATTTCTTAAGCCAGAGAAGATATGCTGTGATTATTAGTAGGTATATAGTCTGGCCTTGACTATGAATGAGGGTTATGTGAGCGAGAGGATTGTGGGCCTTTGCTGTCACATCTACTTTAGTTTGTATGTAGGTAGGGATTATCAATACAGATTTACCCACTAGTTTAGAAATCAGGTAATAGGGTAATGTTGTAAGACTCAGTGGTAGAATATTTGCCTAGCATGAGAGAAGTGTATTTCTTGATACCACAGCTACATATGTGATATATACCTGATTTTAGGGTAGGTAAAGGGCTCTGTGCTGCAGAGGATTTAAGATTTCTTGTCACAGGTAAATCTCAAGTTGAAAAAATAGTGATTTAAGAAGAGTGTTAATGATTGGGATATAGCTAATATGTGCTTGTCTGTGTGCATGAAATCGTGGGTTTGATTTCCTGTGATTAAAAAAACAGTGTATTCTAGTACATATCTATAATCTTAGCAGGATGATCAGGAGTTCAAGGTTGTTTTCTGCTACATATAACAAGCTTGAAGCTGGTCTTGAATGTATGAGAACTTGTTTTTTTTGTTTGTTTGTTTTGTTTTTTGTTTTTTAAGTTAATAGTGGTTCCAGCACTCGGGAAGCAAAGGCAGGTGTATCTCTGTGAGTTCGAGGCCAGGGTAGTTTAAAGAGTGAGTTCCAGGAAAAGCTCCAAAACTACAGAGAAACCCTGTCTCCAAGAAAAAAAAAAATTAAGGTAGAAGGGAGGATAGAAAACTCTACCTTGAGGAAGGGAGTGGTAGACATGTAGTTTAAAAAGAAAATTCTTTCAATTGGGAATGACTAGAATTTTAGTTTTTCAAAAATGAGCGATAGAAAAGTTTTTGTATTAAAGGGATGGAAATCGGGTTCTGGGTTAGCCAGGGCTACATAGTGAGACCCTATCTCAAACAGAAGTATGTATGGGAATATAATTAAAATTAGAGAATTGCCAAGATAGATGATTTAAGAATGGTAAATGTTTGGGGATAAGGAACGGTACAAGGATTATGAAGTGGTTTCTTTGCCTTGAGACTGAGAACAATCTCCTTTCCTCCAAGTACTATATTATTGCTATCATCTTTCAGCTTTTCTCTGTAAGTTCTTTTTAAAAATTTTTCTTGACAACAAATAGTAATATTTATGGAGTACAGACTCATAATTTGTATGTAATACATGGATCAAATCGGAGCAGTAATATTTTCATGTCCTGCAGCTTTTGGAAATGATGTCAGTGTAGATTGTGAATTCTTTTGAGGGATTTTAAAAAATTGGTCTGTAATCCATTTTTATGGGAAAGACCAATTTGAAAACTAGCCATTTTTTGCACTGTATTCATCATAGTCATTATTCATGATGGGCAATTCTTAGAGAAAAATTGGCAAAGGTAAAAGGCCTATTCAAAAGTTACTGCCAAAATACAGGAAGAAGAGAGAGCCTCTAGAAAAACAAAACTGAATTCAGAAGGTAAATTTTGTTATATGAAAGATTTAATTGGATTAGCATAAATATAATCTTTGAGTGTAAAAGGTGAATTTTATAATAGACTAAAAAGTGTAGTTAGAAGCCAGATGATGGACAGTTGGAGAAATATGAAAACAAGACTGTTAGATTTGCCTAATCGAATTATTTTTGTCTTAGGAAAACGTAAAGGTTATGTAAAAGAACATCATCGTTGTTAGGATGTTGAGCTATTTAGTGATGAAGTATCATGAGGCCTACAACCCTGTTCTTGAAGTTTAAAGAGAAAAGTGTCTAACTCTCTGGATGTAAAATGCAAGGATAAAAGCCCCCCCAAAGGGTGGGGGACACAAACAATACTGAGTGTTTTATGAAATAAAAAGCTGTAAAATAATTATTATATAATATGTAAGACAAGCAGAAAGGTATTAATTGAAAAAAAAACACTCATGAGCCCACCGCCTACTTCAATACATCAGACATTGCCTATCACATTTCCCTTTCTGGCTGGAACACTTTTTAAAGGAATTTATTTTGGCCAGGCGGTGGTGGCCACACACATTTAATCCCAGCACTCTACAAGAGCTAGTTCCAGGACAGGCTCCAAAGCCACAGAGAAACCCTGTCTCAGGGGGGAATAAAGGAAAGAAAGAAAGGAATTTTGTGCACTCAACAGTTCCCTATGTTCACTGTGTGGGTTCTGGGGATTGGACTTGGTATCAGGTTTGGTGGCAAGTGCCTGTGCCTTTACCCACTGAGCTGACTTCTGTTCTCAAGATCACTCTTCTTTAGAAATAAAAATTTTAAGCGACAGGCCTGAGTTTGTGGCCAGCCTGGTCTACATAAAGAAATCCTGTTTTAAAAGCCCAAAGCCAGAGAGAGGGGTTTGGGAACTTACTAGAAATAAAAATTTCAAAGCAAACATTCAATTTATCTTATTTCTCAGGCCTTTTGCTAACTTTTGAATTGTAATTTAGTTCGTCGTGTATGTTTGGTGTATGTGTGTGTGTATGTACCCTTTATAATGTACAGTTGAGTTTACTGAAAGATGCAGTTTAGACTTTGAAGTTAACTTGACATTCTTTTCTCTTTAGGAGGGAGGTGGAAGTCATCATAAAGTTTCTGTTTCCCCTGTTGTTCATGTTCGAGGACTCTGTGAATCTGTGGTGGAAGCAGACCTTGTGGAGGCGCTGGAGAAATTTGGGACAATATGGTAAGGACAGCAGGGACTTAAATAGATATTGAAAATAACATGGTAAGACAGACAATCACCTTGCTTGATTGCTCGAGTTGTAGCATTGCTGTATGTATGTATGTATGTATGTATGTATGTATGTATGTATGTATGTATATGTGTATGCTTCTCTATGGGAAAAAACTTCTCCCCCATATTTTGAGTTGGGGCAGGCTGGCCTGGAACTTGTGTTTTTCCTGTTTCAGCCTGTTGAGTTGCTAGGATTATAGGTGTCTGCCATCTTTGGAACTTTTATTTATTTATTTATTTATTTTTCCCGAGACAGGGTTTCTCTCTGTAGCTTTAGAGCCTGTCCTGGAACTCACTCTGTAGACCAGACAGGCCTCAAACTCAGAAATCCGTCTGTCTCTGCCTCCTAAGAGCTGAAGTCAAAGGTGTGCTTTGATAACTTCACCCAGCTAGAAAGCAATTTTCTTATGACCAAATCTATAATAGGCCAGTTAACTTTGTTTTTAATTTTTCTGTTTCCAGGGGCCATTTTTAACCTGGCAACAAAAATTTTTATTTTTTGCGAAAAACATTCTTAAATTATTTACTTTTAAAGATTTGTTTACATGTTTGAGTGTTTTGTCTTCATATATGTATGATTCCTACAGAGATCTTAAAAGAGGATGTTGGATCCCTAGGAACAAGTTAGAGTTGTGAATCACCTTGTGGGTGCTGGGAACTGAACCCTGGTCATCTGTAAGAGTAATAAGTACCCTGATTCCAGGGTTTACTATTTTACATATAAGAGAATTCATCTAGAAGAAATAGTTTCTTTCCTGGGGTTTGTATTTTGTACTTATAGTTGATATGGCTGCCTTACTGTGTCTCTGTTGACCTTTTAGTGATGTAGGTGGGGATAGCTAACCAGCCTCCTAGGTCGACTTATTACCTGCTGTGTGCCAGGCTCTGTTTCTGTCTTCTGAGGTTATAAAGGTGTGTGAGGAAAACAGAGTAGTAGTTACCCATGAAGATCCTAGAATATGCCAGACTGTTTGCTAGGCAGTTTGTGTGCAGTAACTCTAATCTTGACTATCAGTCTCCAGTTTTATAAATGAGGAAAGTGGTAAATTACTGAATATAAAATGATGTGAGGGGCCGGGTATTGGTGGTGCATGCCTTTAAACCTAGGACTCGGGAGGCAGAGGCAGGCAGATCTCTGAGTTCGAGGCCAGTCTGGTCAACAAGATGAGATCCAGGACCACCAAGGACTGTTACACAGAGAAACCCTGCCTCTTTTAAAAAAAAAAAAATGTGGGTTTTTCATTTAATTTGTTTTTACTAATACTGCACTGTTGTCAGTTTCTGTTTTGAAGCTGTGGACTCTGGGTGCTTGTTTCGCAGAGTGGTTTGAGTACCTGACTTGATGGTTTTTTTGTTTTGTTTTGTTTTGTTTCATTTTTTAAGACAGGGTTTCTCCATAACAGCCTTAGCTGTCATGGAATTTACTCTGTAGAGCAGGCTGACTTTGAACTAGAGAGCCATAGGGATTAAAGGCAAGCGCCACCATGCCCTGATGATTTTTGTGGGTTTTTTGTTTTGTTTTGTTTGTTTTTTGATATGCTTCGACCATGTTGCTTGTATCTCCAGACAGTTGAAAGTTCTTATTCATGTCAGATGTGAATATGCTGTTTCTCCTTTTGTAAAATGTGCACTGTGATTTTTTTCTATTTTAAAAAATTTAGACAGGGTCTCACAATATAGCAGCCCGGGTTGACCAGACTGGCTTCAAATCCTCAGAGATCTTTCTGGCTCTGCCTTTTGAGTGCTGGGATCACCTCATTTATTATTCATTTTGTGTATTAAAATATATTTCCTCGATAGGAATATATTTTAAAAAATAAATACCTCATCCTCTTGCTCATAATTAGCCAAGATTATTCTTCTATTGTTTGTCTTTTTGTGGACTCTTTAAAGTATTTTGGGGTAAATTACTCGGATGAATTTTGGTCAATCTATGGTCACCTCTATTTGTCTGTTTCTAACAAGATAAAATAGAAGTAGTTAATTCTTAGTTATTGTTATGTGGGTATTTTCTTTTTTGAGATGGGCTGGCTTTGAACTTGGAGCCCCCTTCTGCCTTCACATCCCAAGTGCTGAGATTACAACTTTTGCCACCATGTCCAGATAGTTTCTACTGTTTATCTTCAGGTTTTGCTTGCTGATCTTCTGTGGGTTTTTTAGTTTCTGTATCTTGATGTTTTCTAATTATTGCATCGGAGAGAGGTGTAAGTGATTGATGGAATTGGGCTTGAGTAGGGCATGAGATGAATAAGCTTTCAGTCATGGGGAGATTAAAGTCTGCTTTTATTTGACTGAGAGTAAGTAATGTTGTATTTTGATATTTCTTCCTTTTTAGCTATGTGATGATGATGCCATTTAAACGACAGGCTCTAGTGGAGTTTGAAAATATAGATAGTGCCAAAGAGTGTGTGACATTTGCTGCAGATGAGCCTGTGTACATTGCTGGCCAACAGGCTTTCTTCAACTATTCTACAAGTAAAAGAATCACTCGGCCTGGAAATACTGATGATCCATCAGGTGGCAACAAAGTTCTCCTGCTCTCTATTCAGAATCCTCTTTATCCAATTACAGTGGTATGTATTTTAGTAGAACAAACTACCTCTATAACAACTAACCTCTGTAGCTTTTTTATCTGCCAACCACTTGTTTTTGTTTGTTTTGAAACATGGTTTTCACTATGTAGCCCTTGCTGGCCTGGATCTTTCTATACCAGGCCTAGACCAGCTTGGCCTGGAGCTCGAGAGATCGCCTGCCTCTACCTCCCAAGTGCTGGGATTTAAGATGTGCAACAACATTCTTAGCTTTCTTAATTTTATTTGTTTATTTTTAAGTTTTATTTTTATTATATGTATATTGGCGTTTTGCCTGCATGTCTGTTTACATGTGTGCAGTGCCCTTGGAGGCCAGAAGAGAGCATCCCTTGGAACTGGAGTTACAGATAGTTGTTAGCTGCTGTGTTGCTGGAAACCTAGCCTAGGGTCTGAGCCATTTCTAACCCAGTGATTCTCAACTGGCAGGTCATGATCCTTGTTTTTGGTTTTTCAAGAAAGGGTTTTTTCTGTGTAGTTTTGGAGCCTGTTCTGGAACTTGCTCTGTAGACCAGACTGGCCTTGAACTGACAGAGATCTCCTGCCTCTGCCTTTTCAGTACTGAGATTAAAGGCGTGCACCATCACTGCCTGGGTGTCCTGATTCCTTTTACCAGGGTCACATACCAGAGTGTTTGCATATCAGATATTTACGTTCTGATGCATAACAGTAGCAAAATTACAGATATGAAGTGGCAACGAAAATAATTTTATTGTTGGGGTCACCACAGCATGAGGAACTGTGTTAAAGGATTGTAGCCTTAGAAAGGCTGAGCACCACTGGGATAGCCCCACTCCTTACCCTTTCAAATAGTGTGGTTAATAGCTGGATATTGTGGGCTAGCCTCTGATTCCAGCACCCAGGAAGCAAAAGTGGGTAGATTTCTTATTTTGAGGCTCTTCTGGTCTAGGTGACCAGTTAGGACTACATAGTTAGATCCTCTAAAAGAAAGTTTAGTAATTAAGAGGAATGATATCTGTAAATTTTTGGTTTTTAGATAAACAAAATAGAATATAGTTTTAATGTATTTCTAAATGTAAAAAAAGAAGAAATATTCTTTTTTTTTTCTTTTCATAGGATGTTCTATATACAGTATGCAACCCTGTTGGAAAAGTACAACGGATTGTTATATTCAAGAGAAATGGGATACAAGCAATGGTTGAATATCCTTTATTTGTAAACGTGTTACTGATATATAGAAGTGTTTGTAATTCTTTTTTTTTTATTTTCCTGCTTGGCATTTCTAGGCAGGTGGTGCTTTTTCCTCTTAGAGCAATTTTCTTGACTTAAATTTGGTTGGTTGGTTTGTTTTTTATTTTGAGATAGGCTGTTGTATAACCCTGGCTTGTGATCTGCCTACTTTCTGACTGTTGAGATTAAAGGTGTGTACTACCATACCCACTTACTTACATTTAAAACATGAAAGAAACTGCAGAACTCTAGGGAATTTTACTCTTGGTAAAAATAACTTTGTACCATAGAATAGTCCATTAAGGCCTGGGGATTGAACCTAGAGGCTCTGTATTTGAGGCCAAGTATTCTAACACTGTTACTTCCTTGGATCTATTCTGAGAACAAAGCAATTTTGTTTCCAGGTTGTAGATTGCCCTTCACTAAGAGGATAAAACCTACTCCATGCTCTACTTTATAGTACTTCTAATAATTTGGAAGGATTACTGTAGATAATGTTGATGGTGTTCTATTTTCTTTGTTATTTTCAGTCTTTAAAATAAATTTTTCTCAGTAAAGATTTATTTGTAAGTTTTAGTTGAGAAAATGTTTCCAGAAATGTTGTCTTTTTAGTTCCCTGGGAATAAAGAACAACTAAATTTAGGAAGCCACGTTTCCTTAATAGAGCTTTATGTTTGAGTCAGTCCTTTGTGCCCAGAAAGCTAAAGCAGCACTCAATGGAGCTGATATATATGCCGGATGTTGCACACTAAAAATTGAATATGCAAGGGTAAGTATTTCAACACCCACCAAAGAAATATTTATGCTTTTGGTATTCAATTTAAACTAACTTACCTTCTTCACTTTCAACAGCCAACTCGTCTAAATGTTATTAGGAATGACAATGACAGTTGGGACTACACTAAACCTTATTTGGGAAGACGAGGTAGGTATTTTACAAATTTTAGAATGTACTTGGATCTGCTGAGAAATTTTTGCAAGCAGTTACTTTCTTTTTCCTGAGATGAGCTAGTTAATTATAATGAAAATCTTGTTTCTGAATGCTTTTGTTGCAAAAGTTGTGTAATGCTGGAAATTAACCTTGGACATTAGTGCCCCCTACTGGTATGTGCTGAGCTTATTTATATTTAGTTCAACAAGGAGCCCTCACATACAGGCACGCCCGCAGTTCAAGGACTTGCATTTCTCCAAGCAGCTCTCTCTCTTTGGAGGAGAGGAAACTGATTCAGAATATTCCTTACAAACTGCAAACTTGCACACTGCTTCTCTATGGAAAGGACTTTTCCCCCAAGCTGGACGAGGCATTAAGAAGGATAGAGGACTCCGGCAGGCTGACTCTACACCTCATCATGCACAACATCGGCATCAGCAAAAAGCCCTCTGAAAAACTCAGACTTGCAATTCACCTTGACTGCATACTACATGCACCATCACCCCAAGTTTTTAAAGGACGACATTTAACAGTACTTCAGACTTGCATGGGATGAACACCATGATAGACTGTGCCCATTTATTCAAGTTGTATGTATACTGATCTGATTTCCCTTAAGGTTTCAGTTGTAGAATTTAAGATTTATGAAAACTAGACATTTTGCAATGTTGTAAAGTTAATTGACCATTGATGTAACTGTTTTCAGCTTAAATTTAAATTGTTAATTGGCTTTTAACAAGGGGTCAGTTTATCTACAGGTCTTGGGAATTGATATGCTCAACCAATCCTCACAAACGTTAAAGATTTAATGTGAATTAGAAAGGTGTGCATTTGACTGGGGATAAACAGGTCAGTGGAAGAGCATGTGTTTAGCATGTGTAAGCCCATGTGTTTGATCCTCAGCATAAAAAAATGCACATTTGTTGCATTTAAGTTTACTTTCGCTTTTTGTTTTTTCCTAATTATGAACATTGAACAGATATTCTAACAAATGAAAAGGTGCATTATATGTAAAAGATGTTTTTCTGTGTGGTTTGATTTTTGTAAAGTGACTTGTTTTGTAACAATTTAAGGTTTTTCACTTATGTTAATTTGTGTAACCAGAAAATTTTAACATTTCAAACATAGTTGAAAGTAGCATGTCATTTTCAAGGTAGGATATATTTAATCTTGATAAATCTGAAAATCAATAGCATTTCATTTGAAATGCATTTTCACCAATAGCCTATACATGCTAAATTTCATGAGCATAGATTTCACTTATAAATTGTTCAACTAACTGTGGTAATTCTGGAATATACAAATTAAAATGTCGATGTTGTAAAAACAAGGGGGCTTCAGTATTGGCTACATCTCAACTACAATATTAATGCTTGAATCACATGTTAGGAAAGCTCAAGATGAATGTGTCTGTACAAGTCAGCTTGAAAAACTTTGTCAACCAAAATATCTTGAGCACTGAGTACTCATAGTGCATGTACTTCAAAGGAAAGAAAGAGTAAAACACAATGTGATCATTTGCATGTTCAGATACTTCTCTATGATTGGCTTCTTTAGCTCTCAATTTCCAGGAATCGTTTCATCTTATGCATGAAGTTGTAAATAGGTTTGTTTTGTAAAATGTAGCTTTGTTAAAAATCTCCGGTTTTGATGCTTAAGGAAATTTGCTTGGCGTAAGATTGATGCAATTGAATCCAATACTGGAAAACAAATCCTTAAGAACAGCAGGATAAATGGTTGATGAGAAATCTCTCATTGCTGTCCACTGATACTATTGAACACTTGAGGTTTTATTTACTCATTTGAAGTAGTTTGGGTTGCATTTATGTTACCTTATATTGAAACATTTATAGATTTTTTTATTATTATTATTATTTTGTTTTCAAGACAGGGTTTCTCAGTGTAGCCCTACCTGTCTCAGGACTAGCTCTGTAGACCAGGGTAGCCTTAAACTTTAGAGAACTGCCTTCCTACTGCTGGTATTAAAGGTGTGCGCCATCATGCCCAGTGAAACATTTATTCATTTTTAGCATTATTTATGTATATTCTTTTAAAAGATCTGAACTTTACACAAAGCCAGCTTAGTTTTTTCATGCAGTTCTAGTTAATCTATTTTAAAATGTGCAAGGTAGATATTTGATAAAATATAATTAAAGGAAGTAAAAATTTATATTTATGCTTTTAATGAAAAAATGCTCTTGTTTTTCAATTTATTGACAGGTAACTTTATGGCTAGACTTGCAGCTTATAAACACATAGTTTTTGTGGTGATCTAAACTTGACTCAAGTTGACAGATTATTAAAATTGTGTTTCCTTTGCCCAAAGACCTTCATGGAGAGCCAGATATGGTGGTGTGTGCTTTTAGAATCCTAGCACTTAGGAAGTAGAGGCAAAGAGTCAGGAGTTTAAAGTCAACCTGACCTATATGAGACCCTGTCTCAACAAAACAATAAATAAAAAGAAGACAATAGGATCTTCATATATCTTTACTAAAGAAATTTTATTAAAGAAATCCTCATTAAAATGCAATTTTTTTTAAAAAAAATTCATTTTACAAAACCCGATTACAAGCTGGACAGTGGTGGCGTACACCTTTAAGCCCAGCACTTGGGAGGCAGAGGCAGGTGGATCTCTGAGTTCAAGGACAGCTTGGTCTACAGAGGGAGTTCCAGAACAGTCAAGGATACATAGAGAGACCCTGTCCCAGAAAAACAAAACAACAAAAAAACCCTGATTACATTTTATTACAGAGAATCCTTAGCCTAAACTTCAAGGAACCCTTCTGTAAACGTTACACAAAACTTATATATTGTATATGTGTGTACCTTTTTGAGAAGAAAGTATAAAGCATTTATCAAATTTTGCTTGAATATACAGAGTTTAACAAAACTCTGTAGACTGATAGGCACAATGTTTGACTTTACTGTTTTGTTTTATATAGTTTTATCTTTGGCAGTGACTGCTTCAAAATATAGTAGTGAAAAATATATAACTGAAAGATATCTTGGAAATGCTTTTTTTTTTTGAGGGTTTCACTACCTGCCTCTGTATCCTGAATGCTAGAAATAAAGGCATTTGCCACTACACCCATCTTCTACTCTTTATGAAGATTGTGGGTTTCTATAACTATACTGCAAATAAGTGGTTAATTGGAGTCTTTCCTTGTACATATTGTTAACTATCAGTAAAACTTAAGCCATGAAAACATGGTTCTGAGAAAAGATAAGGAATTGAGTCTTTTGGTATCTATTTAAGGGGACAAGACCTGAGGGATCAGATCAGCAGACTAGATTAATTTAAGAGAATAGACACTAATACTGGGAAATGCTGGAAACTATGTAAGAAAAAGAAATTCTTTAGCCTTTAGAAGCAGTGGTTTAGGAGGTGAGGTCAGTGTGTAAGTACTAAGTTTAAGGTTTTAAATACATTAGAATTTGGGTGGAGGATCAGTTTCTGTTCCTCCTTTCAAGTAATCTTCTTGAAATTTGAAGTAGTTTTCTTGAAATCTAGGTTATCTATAAATGTAAAGAAAGATAGTGAACACCTTATTGCTGGTATTGGTTAAGCAGTAGCCAAAAGGGATGAGTAGGAGGTTTTTTTTCCCCTTTTTTATTGTTGTTTGATTGTTTTTAAATATTGAATAAAAGTTTAACTAGATGACTCTTTAATCCCTTTCAGTAGTGTGATAACATGGTTAGAATAGGTAATTAAAAATAGACTTCTAGGCTGAAGTGAAAGTATTTCTCATCTTCCATAAACCTTGTTTGTTTAGGTGACTAAGGATGTTTTGGGCTCTATGATTGGATCAGCAAACTTCTAAAAATATTAAGATTTTGAAATTTGTTAACCGGCAGTAGAAATCCTATTTTGGAACCCTGGAAGTAATTCTTTAAAAAAAAATTATTTTTCAAGTAAGAATTGAGGAAATTGGCATGCCTTTTTTATAAAAAAAACATATATATATATACATATATATAGCTAGAATAAAAATTTAGAGTATTGTAGTCTCATCCAATAATGTAGCCCCCTTGGTTAGGTTCATCTTGGCATATTTAACTCTGGAGGTTGCTCATACTTCTGCTTGATGTTATGGTCAATAGAAAATGACCTATCTTTGATACAACATAAGCCAGTGATGTGCAAATTTTCAGCTCTCAAGTCAGTAGGTGTTTGTAAATATGTGTATGTACATATAAAATACTCTGTGTTTACTGATTGTGAAACCATGTAATACAGGTTGTTGTTGGCTTATGCTGAAACTTCTTGAAAGAAGCCCACTTTGAAAATGTGTTGCTGTTGAAGCTAATAGTATGATTCAGGTACTGTCTTTCAAAAGTACTGCACTTAAAAGCTTGTTTTAAAGACATGTATTGGTAAAACCTGTGTACAGTGTCAAACTCTAGCATTGTGTACATTCATCTCCTGCAAAGCATCTAATCTTTTAAATTTGAAAGTGTGATTGTATTTGGCATTTATCAAAAACATACTTTCCAGTGGAATTTGTTAGATAGAATTGTTTTCTTAAACATTTGGTGTTTGTATTTAAACTGGATATGGATGGATGTTTAAAATTAACCAGGAGTAATATTTCTTTTATGAAGTATTTGGATGTTTTGAATGGGTGTTTCCCATATGAAAACTCTGTTAAATACTTGGATCAAATTGTTAAAATCCTGTTTCTACTTTTGTGTCAGATAGAGGAAAGGGTCGCCAGAGACAAGCCATTCTGGGAGATCATCCTTCTTCGTTTAGACATGATGGCTATGGTAAGTTTGTGAGGCAGGAGGAAGATCAACTAACTAAGAATATTTGCATATCTGATAAAGAGTGTCCTATTACTTGTCTGTATTTTTCCCAAACTCCTAGTCACCTGATGTAGTTTATGTGATTTCAGCCCATTACAGCAGTATTCAAGACCTCCCCCCATTAGGATGTTGATATATTAAAATAATCCTTGAAATAAATTGAGAGCTATTGATTGGTTGAAGAATTGAGCACTTTTTTTTCTCTGTTCCTACAGTTTGGTTCTCTGTTCCTGTAGTTTGACTCTGACGTATTTATAAGAGAACCAGAAAGGGATATTACTGCTTCGAAAGTTTATTTTCACTTAACAACTAGGAGCAAAGAGAAATTTTCAATATTAAAAGCAAAAGAATGAGTATTTGTCAAGAAAGAAACATGATTTTAATTATAGATGCTTAATTTTATGGTTGGTATTTTGGCTTTTGTTAAATTTGTATTCTACTTTTAAAGCCTCCTGCCTCTTAATCTTTGCTAGGTAGAAAATTTGATATTAGTAAACTCAGAATAATAATTTTTTTGAAAAAGCTAGGCTTTAGATTATTGAAAATAGAAGTTGACAATTATTAGAATAGTGTGTTAACTGACTGACTACATAGTTTTAAATTTTATTTTAATTTTTAGAGGGTAGTTATTGACTTCTACCTAGTTTTTGCTTCAAAGTTGAACTTAATACGTTTTATGTAGTGTTTATTTATCATAAAGTCTATTCATGGAGTTACTGACTAGTATCTTTTTATCTTCATGGCTTACTGACTAGTATCTTTTTTTTAACTAAAAATTACTTAACTTTCTATGTGTTATGTGTGTTTAGCCTGCATGCATATCTATGCACAGTGTATGTGCTTGGAAACCAGAAAAATGCATTGGATCTTCTGAAGCTGGAGTTAGACTGTTGTGAGCCTTCCATGTGGTTGCTAGGAATTGAACTCAGGTCCTCTGGAAGAGCAATCAATGTTCTTAACCATCTTAGTCACCTCTCTGGTGTCTTATTTTATTTCTTATGTCTGTGATAAAATTTGTTTAAAGTTTTCTAGTAACCTATATTGCAGAGTTTTTTGTTAAAGAAGTAAATGTTGTACATGGGGGGGCTGTCTTTTTTTCCGGTTGTTTTTTTGTTTGTTTTGTTTTGTTGTTTGTTTGTTTGTTTTTTAGAGGCAGCGTTTCTCTGACTGTCCTGGAACTTGCTTTGTTGACTAGGCAGCTTTAAACTTGCAGAGATCCACCTGCTTCTACCTCCCGAAATAGGATTAAAGGCGTGTACCTTCATCATTCAGCTGTTTTTTTGTTTTGTTTTTACATTTTTTTTAAAATTACATGTGTGTGTGTGTGTGTGTGTGTGTGTGTGTGTGTGTGCCAGTGGAGGTCAGAGGACTTAGTTCTCGTCCATGTGGACCCAGGAGTTGAATTCATGTTATTAGGCTTGGAGGCAGGTACCTTTTACTTGAAGAACCATCTTGCTGACCTGGCATGGTTGTTTAACTAATTTGTATGATCCTTGATCATTTTTCTTTGTTTCTGTAACATAAGAGTATATGTGTAGTTTTGTTCCTGCAGTAAAGAAATGCTGAGTAGAAGCCTATTGTGCTATATATCACAGAAAGTTTGTGTTATTTGTGGAGTTAAATGTGTCAATGGCAGTCGGGCAGCATGGTGCACACCTTTAATCCCAGCACTTAGGAGGCAGAGGCAGACGAATCTCAGTGAGTTCGAGGTGAGCCTGGTCTATAGAGTGAGTTCCAGGACAGAGAAACCCTGTCTCGGAGAATTAAAAAGAGAGTGGGGAGTGCACTAAATAGGGATCATTGAGATGGTGGAGTCTTGTTTTCAGGGGATAGTTGTCTCAGGGCTGTGTGGGTACATCTATTCTCAGCTATGTCGTTAAGATATTGAACTTGTAGATTAATTTGTTCTGCTTCCTAAGAGAAGTTAAGCACTTGCTGCTGGTTGCTCTTCCAGAGGTCCTAAGTTCAATTCCCAGCAACTACATGGTGGCTTACAACCATTTATAATGAGATCTGGTGCCCTCTTCTGGCCTGCTGGAATAAGTACAGGCAGAAATGAACTAAGGGAGAGAGGTTAAGCAGATGGACTTAAAAGGACAGAGTGTAAATAAAAAAGAGAAGTGAAGTGAGATGAAGTGGGAAGAAGATAGGCGTGTGTCCTAGGGTGCTGAGATAGTTTACATATGTGCACATCACAACTGTGTAACTTCAGAGCAGCAGTTAACAGAACAGCTTTATTTGCATTTTGTGTTACGTCATAGGTGTTCCTACGTAATGATCGGAAATAAAGAAGAAATCAAGAAAAATGAGTCAGATGCATATTTTCAATTAGATTAAATTTATTCATTGTTATCATAGGATAAATTTTATACTAACTTTTACAGTTTTTTGTTTAAAAGACATGGTCTCACTGTGTATTCCCTGCTGATCGCTGGAACTTGAGGTGTCAATTAGGCTGGTTTTGAATTCATCATACTTATTAAACTGTGAGCTTTAGGCCATCACAAGTTGACTAGCATTTTTGGATCTCCTGGATCCAAGATTTTAAATTTTGAAAGACAGTACATGACTTCAAAATGTTAATGATGCCTTTTATTTAACATTTTCCCATATAAATGGATTTTTTTTAAAAAAGATTTTATTTATTATATATACAATAGTTTGCCTGCATGTATCCCTGCATGCCAGAAGAGGGCACCAGATTTCACTATAGATGGTTGTGAGCCACCATGTGGTTGCCGGGAAACTCAGGACAGGACCTCTGGAATAGCAGCCAGTGCTCGCATCCTCCGAGCCATTTCACCAGCTCAATGGATTTTTTTTTTTTTTAATGTGAAGCATTAGTTTTCTAAAAAGCATAAAGACTTGAATCTGCTATTTAGGACTGATGGCTATACAGTAGAGTCTAAATCATGTAGATAATTTAATTCTGTTGACTTATGGTCGTAGTTAAAATCATCACAGCTTTTTTATCCTCTTGTACTGGCTTTGGCTGTTACTTAATCTGTACCTCAACAGTAATGAAGTTTGTCCCACTTGAGCTCAGTGGAAGTTTGTATTACTTAACTGCTTCAGGTCTTTTCACTTCCCATGGGGAAAGGAATAGTGACTTTAGTGAAATATTGTTGCATAAGCAAATGGTAGTGGCAGGAAGGCAGTATAATATGAATAATGACTTTGCAATGTGATGGTCAAAGTCTTTGTCCTACAAAAAAGTTGGTGATGCTATGGTTTCTTCTTAAAATGGGGAAAAATAGCTTGAGATTTAGTGTTTATTGTACACACAGAGTAGATTATGCTTCCCCCCCCCCCCCAGAGTTTTTCTGTAGCTTTGGAGCCTGTCCTGGAACTAGATCCTGTAGACCAGGCTGGCCTCGAACTCACAGAGATCTGCCTGCCCCTGCCTTCCAAGTGCTGTGATTAAAGGCGTGCGCCACCACTGCCCAACAGATTATGCTTCTGTAACAGGAGCCCCGTAGATGTTTAAGACTTAGATTTTTCTTTATTTATTCATTTATTACACTAGAGGAATTTTTTTAAAGATTTATTTATTATGTATAAAACATTCCTTCCATGTCTGCCTGCACGCCAGACGAGGGCACCAGATCTCATTATAGATGGTGAGCCACCATGTGGTTGCTGGGAATTGAACTTAGGACCTCTGGAAGAGCAGTCAGTGCTCTTAACCTCTGAGCCATCTCTCCAGCCCCACACTGGAGGAATTTTTGGTTTTGTTTGTTTGTTTGTTTGAGACAAGGATTCTCTGTTGCTTTGGAGCCAGTAGTGGAACTAGCTCCTGTAGACCAGGCTGACCTTAAACTCACAGAGATCCGCCTGCCTGTCTCCCGAGTGCTGGAATTTAAGGCATGCGCCACCACCGCCCAGTGGAATTTTTATTTATATATTTTAACATTTATGTTATGTTTAACAAGTGTACCAGTGGGAGAGATGGCTCAGGGGGTAGAGTGCCCGACCGCTCCGCCCAAGGACCCAATTTGATTCCCGACCCAGCTCAAGTAGTTCTGTGCCGTCTGTCAGCGCCCCCCTCCGGCCTGCAGAACGACCCACAGTCTTCCACGTCTACCGTAGATCCGCGGGGCAAAACAAACAAAAAAACCAAGTGTGCTTGCATGTGTTTATATACATCACTTGTGCAGATTCCTGAGGAGGCTAGAAATTAACATCCCCTGTAACGAAGGTTGTAGCCTGTTGTCCTTACATGGGTTCTGGGAACCAAACCCAGGCCTCCCGGAAGAACAGTAAGCTCTTTAGCCCCCTGGGTGTATATTTTTGAATTATAGGTCTCCATCTTAGTTGCTGCTTCTGGGTCCTTAATTGCTGTTAACATACTCCCTGTCTCCTTTGGTTTTTTGAGACAGGATTTCTCTGTGTAGCCCTGGCTATCCTGGAACTCACTCAGTAGACTGGACTGACCTCAAATTTAGGGATCGTCCTGGCCTTGGCCTGCCTTTGCCTCCTGGATGTTGGGATTAAAGGCGTGTGTGGCCACTGCCCAGCTCTCTACCTATTTTTGTACCTCAATTTCTTTACAGTTGTTCTGTTACACACTCAAAAAAAAGCTTGAAAGTGAAGTTGTAGATGCAAAAAGACGCAAGGTTGCCAGGCAATGGTGGGTGCATGTCTTTAATCCTGAGCACTCAGGACCAGAAGCAGATGGATCTCTGTAAGCTCACCTAGTCTACAGAGCTAGTTCCAGGACAGCTAGGGCTGTTACACAGAGAAGCTCTGAGGGGAGGGAGTGGGCGGTAAGGTTTACAACTCTTAAATTTAGCAAGTTGATTTTGACATTAAAATTTTTTGGTTTAAGAGATGTAATGAGCGGACAAAGAGTTTCCATAGAATTTAAGATATTTTCTGATGGGTTCTTGTTTTGCTTTTATTTATTGTGGGTAGGGGAGGGTTGCAGACCTGTGAGATAGCTTGGTGGGTATATGCATTTGCTGCTAAGCCTGACTACCAGAGTTTAATTCTTGGAACCCACAATGGTAGAAGGAGAGAACAGACTCCTGCAAGCTGTCCTTTTATTTTACAATGGCACATACATCACACACAGATGAAATAATTAATAAAGGATGATAGAAGAGTTACATATAGATGAGGTGCTAACTAATGAATCCTAGTATTCATTTTTCTGAAAATTACAGTATATTACAATATATTCAAGGAGACATTTTGTAGAACTGAAGAACTGAAAATGTTTTTTTTTTTTTTGTGGGGGAGTTGTATGAAACAGGGTGTCACTTTGTAACTTTGCTGACTTCAACCTTAACAGAGGTCCACTTGGCTCTGCCTCCCTAGTGCTGGGATTAAAAGCATGCACCATTACACTGGCTTGAAAATATTTTTTCTTATATTTATTATAAAGGTAGTTCCTTACATTATATTGTGTCTTATTCCTCTAAATGACATGAGTAGTTGTAAGTGTGTATCACCATGCCTAGCTGAATTGTAGCGTCATACGTGCATACATCCATATCCCAGTGTTTTACACTGGCTCCTTCAGTTCTAGTCTAGCCTGGTCTTAACCCTTTTGAAAATAGAAATTTTGTATATGTAGATATAGCTGTCTATTGATTTATATGTATGATACATATTAATGCTGATTTTTGATTTCTGTATTTATATTTAAATATTCAAATTCTTGGTTTTTTGATGTACATAAAACAAATTTTGAGAGTTTAATTTGGGAGAATGAGGTTATAACTTAGTGGCAGGGTGCCTGCTTAGAATACGCAAGGTTCTAGATTTTTATATGGTAAAGTGCATCTACTAATTTTTGTAAATGGAAATGCATATATGTGTTACTTACTTATTATTTTGGTTATTTTTGCAGGATCACATGGTCCATTATTGCCTTTACCAAGTCGTTATAGAATGGGCTCTAGAGATACACCTGAACTTGTTGCTTATCCATTACCACAAGCTTCTTCCTCTTACATGCATGGAGGAAGTCCCTCTGGTTCCGTTGTAATGGTTAGTGGATTACATCAACTCAAAATGAATTGTTCAAGAGTCTTCAACCTATTCTGCTTGTATGGAAATATCGAAAAGGTGAATTTCATTTTGCTAGTTTATTTGGGTGGAACATCTAGTAGTTCAGAAATTGCTGTTCGTTTCTGTCAGAAACATCTAAGTTCTTTGAATAATGAAATCATAAGCTTAAAATCTGTTATGTTTGAATTACAGAAATGATTAATTTTTTACTGGCAAGTGATTTGTATAGATTGTTAGTATTAAAAGTATGTTGTAAATTACCTGTTTAATGAGTTCGTCCAAAAACTCATTTGGACGAACCAAATGGTTTAGTCACCTACTAGTGTACTAAAGATATGAAGCCTGTATAGATAAGTGTTATTGTCAGTTGTTTGACCATTTGTTCTGTAATCCTGAGAAGCAGCAATAGGCCAGGCTTCCTTATGTGTCTCTCTTATGTGATCACATGAACAAGAAACAGATATTGATGTTCTACAGTGTACTATCAACCAAATTATGATGTTTCCAATTCAAACTGTAGAATTTCAAAGAGTAGTTATACTCATGGAGCTATTTGACTTGCTTTGGGAGGGTTGTTATATACTTGTTTTCTAAATACCATGGTATGAATATCTTATTTTTTTCCATTTTTTATTTTATGTGTGTGAGTGTTTTGCCTGCATTATGTCAGCACATACCACATGTGTACCTGGGCCCATGGAAGTCATAAGAGGGTTTTGGATTCCCTGAAAGTAGAGTTAGGAATGATGTGAGCCACCATGTGGGTGCTAGAACTAAACTTATGTCTTTTTTAAAAATATTTATTTATTATGTATACAATATTCTGTCTGCGTGTATGCCTGCAAGCCAGAAAAGGGCACCAGACCTCATTACAGATGATTGTGAGCCACCATGTGGTTATTGGGAATTGAACTCAGGATCTTTGGAAGAGCAGGCAATGCTGTTAACCTCTGAGCCATCTCTCCAGCCCCTAAACTTATGTCTTAATGGCTGATCCAGTTTTAATCATCTTGTGAGAAACAGTGTGTTTTTATTTGAGCTCAGTTAACATTTGAAATTGACCCATTTTGGCAGAATGTTCCAATACTGTAATACTGTTAATTTTCCTCTTGTGATCTTAATACTCTTTCCATACATAGTAATAAGAAAGGATACACATGTGAGCCATTGGTGTGGGAGTGGGAGAATGGCCTAAAAACTTAATATTCCTGATTTTTGGTTCATTAATTCTAAAAACCTGATGTTATTTCCATTATTTCATTGTATTAAGAGGAAGAAAAGAAAAAAAATGTATTTTCTCTGAGGATAGGTCGACAGCTAAATTCAGTAAGTTTAATCTACGTCCTTTGTGTTAAGAATTTTCTCATAATTCAGTTTTTGGTATGTTGTTTAGCTAATTCTACTGTTAAATTTTATGTGTGTGTTTATGAACCACTTGCATGACTGATCCCTGAGGCCGGAAGAGGGCTTTAGATCTTTTGGAGCTGGAGTTAAAGAAAATTGTGAGCCACCTAGTGGGTGCTGGGAATTAAACCTGTGTCCTCTGGAAGAGCAGCTAGGGAGTGAGTGCTCTTAACTGCTGAGCCATCTATCTCTTCAGCCCCCAAGTTTTTAATAGTGTTAAATAAAGAAATGATGGATTGTGATGCATAAAACTCAAGCCATTATAGTCATTTAAGTTTAAAGACACTCATTTAAACTTTTCCAATGATTTAATTTTTTTATGGATTTATAAATGTGTATGAATGTTTTACCTGTTGTGTGTATGTATGATGTGTGTACCTGTTGACTATGGAGGTCAGAAAAGGGCATTGGATCCCCAGAATTATAGTTACGAATGGTTGTGAGCCACTGTAGAGGTGCTTGGAATTAAACCTAGGTCTTTTTCAAGAGCAACAAGTGCTCCTAATCACTGAGCTGTCTCTCTGGGACTTGTCTAATTTTATTTATTTTGGGGGGAGAGGGCTTAGAACCACATTAATTTATATTTATATAAGCATACTATGTATATAAACTTTTACTAGATTTTTAAAATATCTCTGGATTAAATCAGCTGATTTCAAGTAAAGATGAAAATTTATGGTATTACCAATTTATATAGGTGTTTATATATTTATAAAGAGTGCTAGGGTATCCTTTTAAAACTGGCAGCGGTGGAGATAATGATTGAACTTAACGATTTACACATTCTCTGTTTCCTTGAGGGGAACAGGTAAGAAACAAAGTGTTCAAGTTGTCACGCTTACTGTATGGTTTAGTGGTTCTAAGTGCCCAACATTGTACTTCCTGCTACCATGCTACCTCTAGGCTATCTTGTATTATTTATCGCCTTGACATTTCTGAATTGCTTACTGCCATATAAAGATGGTTATGTTTACCATTCAATCTGTAGTACCTATTACAGTGCTTATCAAAGCATACTAGATACTCAGATATTTGTTTGACGAATATTGCTGAGTCTGGGCTGAGTATCTAGGGATGTAATCATTATCTTCATTTTATAACAGCAGTTTGGTATATTAAGTAGATTAGCTCTAGACCACACAGATAATAGCCTTGGGATAAACCTGTCCTCCGTGTGCTGTAAAGTACAATTACAGTCTTCCCCTTTAATTTCAGCCAGTTTTGGTAAGAGTTAATTTAAGACTGTCCTGTAAGACAGAATAAGGTTAAAATTCTAAGAAATGATGTTGGGATTTTTGTATTTTCAGGTAAAATTTATGAAGACCATTCCTGGCACAGCCCTCGTAGAAATGGGTGATGAGTATGCTGTAGAAAGAGCTGTCACACACCTTAATAATGTCAAACTCTTTGGGAAAAGACTTAATGTTTGGTAATTACTTAAGTTATAAATGTTAACAATGTTTTGAAATCCTTGTTAATTTTAGAATATTTTGTAGTAACTGAGCATACGTCTGAAGATAGAAACATTAGTATTGTTACTGTTGACAAGTGGTAGGAGTTATATAATTGTTCTACTTTTCTAAAATTACATATGTATACATGAGTGCACAAGTGTCCAAAGAATCCAGAAGAGAGCATTATATCCTTTGGAGTTGGTGGTTGTCAGCCACCCATCCTTGTTGCTGGGAAGGGGTCCTCTGCAATAGCAATAAGAACTCTAAACCACAGAGCCATCTCTTAATCCAGACCTCCTAGTTTTTAGTTTTATTATCATAAAACAATGTTAAAACAGATAAGTTCTTAAATTTTTTTTTCTAACGTGGAATTTGATTCATTTTCTTTCTAATATCTAAAATACAAGAATGACTTGGGCAGTGGTGGTGCACACCTTTAATCCCAGCATTTAGAAGGCAGAGGTAGACGGATCTTGAGTTCAAGGCCAGCCTGGTCTACAAGAGCTAGTTTCAGGACAGCTAGGACTGTTGTTACACAGAGAAATCCTGTCTCAAGAAAGGAAGACAGAAAACAAAAGAGTAAATAGAGAAGGTTGTGCATGGGTTACATGTAAATACTATAAAAGTATAAAAAAGCATGTTCCCCCCCCCCTTGGGGGATGTGGGTCTGTGGTTCCTGGATACCAATTTGGTATTCCCTTGTATGCCAATGAATACTTTTGTACTGTACTTAAATAACTATGTACACTTTCTTTTGTTGACTCATAAAAGTGTTTGTGACTGCCTGCTGCTGTTTATCTAACAAGATGTATTGTATTTTTCTTTTCTAATCCTCAGTGTATCTAAACAACATTCAGTTGTTCCAAGTCAGATATTTGAGCTGGAGGATGGTACAAGTAGCTACAAAGATTTTGCAATGAGTAAAAATAATCGCTTCACAAGTGCTGGCCAAGCATCTAAGAATATAATCCAGCCACCCTCATGTGTGCTGCATTATTACAATGTTCCACTGTGTGTCACAGAAGAGACCTTCACAAAGGTGGGCACTATAGAAAAGTTTATAGAATGTTCTGTGTTTTAAGTTTATATAATATTTCTATTAATGAAATTTGCTTTTAAAATTAAACTTTTTTGTTGTTGTTGTTTGTATTTTTTCTCCTCGAGACAGGGTTTCTCTGTGTAACAGTCCTAGTTGTCCTGGAACTAGCTCTTGTAGACGGCTGGCCTTGAACTCACACATCCGCCTGCCTCTGCCTCCCGAGTGCTGGAATTAAAGGCGTGCACTAACTACCACCACCCAACTAAACTTGTGTTTTAAATTCATAAACAATTCCTGAGTTGGACATCATTGGAAAGGTCCATGTTCATATTCTTTGTTTCCAATTTTAGTATATGCATTGCCAAAACAACACTCACCCCTTATTTAAAGACAGGGTCTCTTACTGAACCTAGAGTTTGCCACTTGGCCGGACTGGTTAACCAGGTGGTTTTAGGATCTTCTCTGCTAAGTGTGGTGTATAGTCCTAGCACTTGGAAGGCTGAGAGGCAGGAGGATTGCCGGGTTTAAGGCTGTGTTGGGTTGCATAGCAGGAGCCTGGCTCAAAAAATAAAATAAAAAGCAACAGTAAAGTTATTTTACTTTAAATCTCATTAATAATAAAATTTTGTATTCCTTCCCCCTGTAACTTGTATAACTGTAGGAGCAGTTCAGAAACGATGCACTTTTTTGGAGTTGTACTTCCTTTCTTTGGTGTTTAGTTAGCTCTTCTTAAAGTCTAAGAAAATGTATTATGACGTAAAAGGACTCTGTTTTATTATATGTGAAATTATTTCCATAGTTTAGAATTTCACTGTTTTTTTTCCAGTTTGTTTCTCTTAGAACTTGATAATAACCTGAACATACATTAATTTATGTTATACTATAGGCTTAAATGCTACTATAAAACAAGGGTTTTTTTATTTTATTTAAAAATTTTTAAATAAATTTTATTTAGCTGTATTTCTGATGTTTTACCTTTCCTTGGCAGTTGTGTAATGACCATGAAGTTCTTCCATTCATCAAATATAAAGTGTTTGATGCGAAAGGTAAGTGAACGTCCCTTGAAAAGTCTTCAGGTTTTACAAGAAGGTTGCTGACAGATAAGTAACAACTGGAATTCCTTTTGTTTTCTTTTAGCTTCTGCTAAAACACTTTCTGGGCTGTTGGAGTGGAAATGTAAAACTGATGCTGTGGAAGCTCTCACTGCACTCAATCACTACCAGATACGAGTTCCAAGTGAGTGATGCGGTGGGCATTGCCTTCAGAAACACTGGCCACACATCTGTGAAACACACAGCTTTTAGTGCCAGTTGTAACAGGGCTTCAGAGAATCCACACTACAGTGGCTTAGCCCTAGTCACATGGGATTTTGGTGGGGTTTGAAGCAATTTATCTCTAAAGGATTGTTCAGGAACCTATATAAAGCCACAGGGTGGTGAGTTCTGAAATTCTCCCAGCTACCTTAAAGAAAGTAAACTTAAAAAAACAATCCAGGCCAGGCTGTAGTGGCACATGCCTTTAATCCTAGCATTTGGGAGGTAGAGACAGGCAGATCTCTGAGTTTGAGGCCAGCCTGGTCGAAAAGCTAGAGAAACAAACTCTGTCTTGAAAAACAAACAAATATATATTAGCAGGTGTGGAATTGCATACCTTAATTCCAGCACGGAGGAGTTTGAGGCCAATCTCCTCACTAATGAACCCTCAAGTCTAATTTGTGTTGCCCATAATCGGAGCATGGTCAAACTACCAGTAGCCAGCACCTTAAAAAAAAAATACAATAGAGTCCTTCTCAACCTGTACTTTGAATTTATAGATAAGTTTCATTAGTACAGGACATTAAGGTGTGTATTTTGGCAAGATGGTCGTCCTTTAGGAAGGTTGTGGTTACCTGTGATGTATTAAAACGCCCATTGCCCAGCATTAGAATATTGAGTCACACCTTCAGTCTTTACTGGTGTGATAGCTGAAAAATAGTATTCTGTTGTTTTAATTTGCCTCCAGAAAGGTAAATGGCCCTGTTTTTTTGTTTTTTGGGTTTTTGTTTTTGTTTTTTTTTGTTGTTTTTTTTTTTTGCCAATATGCTATGAAAAATTTTTAAGTTTTGAAACTTTATGTTGTATAATTTGCTTTGATCCTGGATCTCAAGGGTATAAAATTTCATCTTTTAAAAAAGTACTAGTATGCCAGGCGGTGGTGGCACACACCTTTAATCCCAGCACTCAGGAGGCAGAAGTAAGTGGATCTTTGTAAGTTCGAGGCCAGCCTGGTCTACAAGAGCTAGTTCCAAAGCTACAGAGAAACACTGCCTCGAAAAACAGAACAAAACAAAACAAAAAAGTACTAGCTAGGTGGCACACTTGTATTTTAGCATTTTGGAAGATCAAGAATTTGAGGCTAGCCTAGACTTCATGAAACTTTCAGAAAATAAATAATAAAAAATTGTATGGGGCAGGTGATGGTGGTGCATGCCTTTAATGTCAGTACTGGGGAAGCAGAGACAGGTGTATCTCTGTGAGTTTTAGGCTGGCCTAGTCTACAAAGTGAATTCCAGGACAACCAAGACTATACAGAGAAATCTCAAAACAAAACAAAAACCCCAAAGAATAAGGTATGGGGAAAATGAGTATTATTTAGAATGGTGATAGGGAAAAAAGGAAACAAGATAACACCCTGCAAGGTCTAGATGCTCAGGAGACTGAGCTGAGGTGGGAATGTCATGTGAGCTGGTGAGTTCCAGGGCAGCCTGGGCAATGTAAACTGCATGACCTCACTCCATTAAAAAGGAAGGGGTGAAATTTTAAAAGTTATTTGAAAGTTTTGTGTGTAGAAACATGCTTTAAATATTATTATAACACCCAAAATGTTTGTGAAGGGCCAGGCAGAAAATAATACTGCCAGATATGGAGAAAGTATAGAAGTAATTGAGTGGAATTCATTAATCTGTATTTTGATTTTGAAAATTACCTAAAAAAACAAAGAGAAATACCTACTTGAAATAAATAATACAGGAGTAAACGTAAAGTAGTTTAGTTTAATGGAAAGTTTTAAACTTTTAAAGTTAATATTGATAAATTGTACCATTGGCAATATGCTTTATGAATGCAAACTCTGCTGGGACAATTGTTTAACCCTGATATTATTGGTCTTTAATGATGAATTAATTTACTTGAAAAATTGACTGTCCTTAAGCTTGGAACAGTAGGAGTGTAGTAACTGTTTAATGGAGCTTAATGTCTATTAGGTCAGGCTGGTTAATCTTTGAGAGGTGGCTTAGTGATGAGGAGCGCTGACTGCTTTTCTGGAACCCACATGGTAGCTCACTAACTCCAGTGCAGGAGATCGGCACCAGATGCACATGGTGGTGTGTGTGTTTATACATATATACACATACACAGATAAAGCAGTTATCCATGTAAACAAATACTTAAGAATTTCCTTCTTTGTATTCCTGTTTCCAGTACTATAAAATGGTAGAATAATTTACTAATTCAACCTGATCTCAAAATTTTGATGGAATGTTAACTTAACTTTTTTCAATTTTTACAGATGGTTCCAACCCCTATACACTGAAGCTTTGCTTTTCTACATCATCCCATTTATAAGAAGAGAAGAGCATGTTAGAATTTATGTTTATCTTTATTACAGTTTTAAAGCTATACTTCATTAAAAATAATCTAAAATGGTTGACCTAATGTTGCCTTGCTTACTATAAGATCCTGTTCTGTAATAAACATATTTTGCCTCAAGTAAATTTGTTGTTAGCTTAAATATTGTTTTCACCTTAAGATGAGTACCATAATGTAGACTGTCTACAGCTTCATTGTGGATTTATACAACATATGATTTCTAACATTATTACAAATTTTGTTCCATGGTAAAATATATTTGCATTCTTAGTGCTAATTATCTGTAAATGTTTTCCCGTTGTGTTTGAGAGTAATGCAGGTGAAAATATTGCATTTTATTACAGAATTCCTACAATAGCTGATTGAATGTTATAGTTACCCATTAAACATAATTTGTATTTATTATTTTAATCAAATTTGACAATAGCATTGCATTTGTTGATTTCAAGAACTACAGATTTAACTGATTTCAATTTCTAAAAGGCTTAATATACATGAACACACTTGTATGGTATGCACTCAAACTCAGATTGGTGTGTTTCTTTTAAAAAGTCATCATTCGTTTGTATTGACATGTTTTTGTTCCTAGTTCCATTTTGGAGATTTTATAAAGTTATAATAATAAGTTAATGTGTTCATTTTCATTATTTTGCATGTGACCTAACCTTAAGGTACATATAGTATTTGACATTGATATTTTAATACTATAGAAGTTAAAATTAATAATTCTCCTATATTATCTAGGTTCCATAGAAGGGTTTCAGAGAACTTGTCAGCCCTCCCAAAATTGTGTGTAGACTTTGGGATATTTGCGTTTTTATTTCTTAATCTTTTATCCATCATAATATGTATTTTTCTATATGGTGTAAGATTTAAGAACTTTATTTTTGATCAAAACAGCTATTTGTCTCAACACCATTTATTAAACATTCTCCCTCTAGATTGGTTTCTTTCTCTTTTTAAGTAATCTTATACTAAGGGTGTTATAAAGTTTGCACCTTTTTAATAATTAGAAAACAGATAGAGCCTTTTTGTTTTCATCTTAAAATGAAAGAATACTTTTCATCCAGGTAGTCCATAGTTAGCAGAAGCAGTTTTGTAACCTTTAGTGAAGAAAAATTTCAAGTTTCATTTAAGTCTTATAAAAGACTCCCTCCCTCCCTGTCCTGGAACTCGCTCTGTAGACGAAAGCTGACCTCAAACTCACAGAGATGTGCCTGCCTCTGCATCCCAAGTGCTGGTATTAAAGGCCTGCGTCACCACCACCCAGCAAAAGACTTTGTTTTGAAAGTCATCTTATATGTAGCTCTGGCTGTCCTGGAACTTTTCCTAGAATTTGAGATGTACCAGGCTGGCATTAACTCGGAGATCGGCCTGCCGCTACCTCCCGAATCCTGGGATTAATGGCATGTCCTACCACATTTGTTTTTATTTCTAATTTTAACAATTCTGAGTTCTTTCAGAATTGAGTCAAAGACTTAAAAATCTGTGGGCTTTGTTTTTGATTTATAGTGTATGTGTGCACAGTACCAGCAGGCCAGATGAAGGCATTGGATCTCCTGAGATTGGATTTATAGGCAGCCGTGGGCCACCCAGTGTAGGAGATAGGAAGTATAGGGTACTAGGTTATATATGTCTTCATTCATTGTCACTTTAATACCTAACCATAAAGCTGGGCGATGGTGGCACACACATTTAATCCCAGCACTCGGGAGGCGGAGTCAGGTAGATTTTGAGTTCGGGACCAGTTTGGTCTACAAGGGCTAGTTCCAGGACAGGCTCCAACGTTACAGAGAAACCATGTCTCGGCAAAAGAAACAGACAAAAAACCCAAAACAAAACCAAAAATAAACCACCTAACTAAACCCGATGGCACTACAAACAAATTTATTTATTTTGGGTTCTTGAGAGATTTTCTCTGGGTGAAAGCTCTGACGGTCCTGGAACTCTGTAGTTCTTACTGGCCTCAGAGTTCACAGTGATCCACTTGCCTCTGCTTCCTAAGTGCTGGGTTTAAAGGCATGTACCACTACTGCCTGACCATAACAGAAAATTTTAACCTTTGCTACAAGTCTTAATTTTAAGAGGTAATTTGTAGCCGGTCGGTAGTGGTGCACACCTTTAATCCTAGCACTTGGGAGGCAGAGGCAGGCAGATCTCAGTGAGTTTGAGGCTAGCATGGTCTATAAGAGCTAGTTCCAGGACAGGCTTCTAAACTACAGAGAGAAGCCGTCTCGAAAAGCAAAATCAACAACAAAAGAAAGTAATTTGTAGACCTATGTAGTGATCTAATTTTTTCTTTGAAAACTAATGTGTGCTTTCAGTATTGGATTTTGTGTGTTTGTGTGTGTGCACCTAAGATTTCAGGAAATAAACCTAGCTAAAGGCAAAGTTTAATTTAAGAGTGTCATGAAGTGGAATTGACTGATCTCGTCCTTAGTTGATTTTTTCCCACAAAAATGACAATGGAGTCTTCATAAGTGAACTAGTATCTCTGACAGACGCTTGGTTGTATAAAGTCATGTGCTCTTGTCACTGATGTTGCCCAAGCATCCTTGCCCTGCTGTTGGAATGGAGTTTTGTGACTGTTTCCCCTTCTTAGCCTTGAAGCCATTCTTTGCCATCTCAGCTTCATAGCCACATGGTGGCGTGACATCTGTCGTGTCCCACATTGGGAAACCCATCTTTTGGGGTTTAGCCTCAACGGGTTCATACATTCAAGGGTAGGGGTGTGTGGTTTAGAAACGTTAGAATAGAGAGACAAGAAATACAGAGATATAGGATAGTGCTGGGAGGACAATCAAGTGTTTATTTCTTAATTCTTTAAATACCCCAGTCCAAAAAAAGAAGAAAGCAAAAGACTTTTTTACCATGATACAAGGAATAAAGTGGTTATCATCTTAATATCCAATACACCAAGTAACCACACCCTAGATCAAGATGTCCTGTTATTAGCCACACCTTAAGTCAAACTTATCAGTAACCTTGAAGGAGCAAGACTAGGCATAAACTCTGACCTTTAGTCAAGATGGATTGGATCCCACATGGACACAGAAGAATGCTTTAGATTCACTAGAATAGGAGGTAGGTTGAAGAGTGGGTGGACAGGTAGGTACTGACTTTACATCTATTTTTAAATACTTAAATTATATCTGTTCAATCTCATTACATATTTATAATCTGCCAGATAGGGTAGGGATACATCTGCCTTTTAAAACCTCTTCAGTTCTTACTGTGTAATAGCTGTGTCTCCGTATAGATCCTGCTCCAAATAATAGTCTCAGGATGAATAAAACCGGTTACTTTTATGTGTCCAGGGAAGATAGAACTTGTTTGAGAATATTTTATATGTGGTACATAAATAGTAAAGCCAGACAGTAAGATGATGGGAAAACATCCTGAGTGTTCTCATCTTCATCCTTTCTACCTGCAGTAATCCAGACGTGTGTGATAGCTCATAGTGCTTACCCACTGAAGAACCTGTGACTGGAGTGAGCAAGAGGCTTCTGTTAAAAGCCAGTCATTAACTCTGTGACCAACTCAGTTCCTAGGTCTAATTTTCTGTTGTTTACTATGTAGAGTTTAGTTTGGCAAGAATTCAGCCCTGGGTTTTTCTGTTTTGTTTTTTGTTCCTATTTTGTTTGGTTTGGTTTAGTTTTTCAAGATGGGATTTCTCTGTAACTTTGTAGCCTGTCCTGGAACTAGCTCTTGTAGACCAGGCTGGCCTTGAACTCAGAGAGATCAGCAAGCCTCTGCCTCCCAAGGCCTGGGATTAAAGGCATGCCCCACCACTGCCCAGCCAGTTTTTACTACTTTTGACTTGTACATGTGTGCGGGGACATGAGTGCCATGGTGTGTGCATGTGTGGATGTCAGAACTACTTGTGAGAGTCCCTTTTCTCTCTATCATGTGCATCGCCAGGATTTAAATGCACATTTTCAGGCCTTACAGTAGGGTACCTTTTAAAGCATCTTACTCCCATATTAAAACGGATTTGATATTTTTGTTTCTGTTTTGGTTTTGTTTTTTTGGTGAATTCAGGGCCTCATGCATACTTGGTAATTCCACTGCTGCACAGGTACGCTCAACTCTTGTGGCTCAGCAGTTACACATATGAAAAGGTTGTAATGTGGATCAAATAGGTAAGGTTTTAATGTGTTTTATTTCCTGAGTTAGATTGGTTTTAAGAACTTGTTAATGTAAATGTTTTCTGCATGAGTTTTACTTTTGTAATAGCCATTTTAGTGAATAACAAAATCATATTGCTTGCCAGTACCTATATAGCATGAAAAATGCTCATATGAGGATCCTTAAGGCTAGTGTGATTTGGAGGGGCAGCTTGGACGGGGAAAGTTAGAGCCCAGTGTATGCGGGGCTAGCTGAGGACATTCATGTTGTGCATATGGAAGATGGGGGTAGGACATGAATGGATTGCAGCAGAGAGGAGGATAGTGCTGGCTGCATTTGGTTGTTTTGGAAACAGTGTTTCTTGAGGACTAGCCCTTCTGAGCTTGAAGGAGAGTCAGAGTAGCCACACCTGGTAACACGTGCCTGTATTCCAGCTATTTGGGAGGCCAGCCTGGCCAACTCAGTGACACCATGTCAAAATGAAAAAAATAACGAAGCAGGGCTGGTGGCAGAGCACATGCCCAATGTGTATGAGACCCTAGATTCAATCCCTAGCACCCCTACTTAAAAGCTAGAGTTCTACCCGGGCCTAGCAGGCTGGTGGTGGGAATCACAGTAATGCATGGGGATGCACTTGATCTCAAGTCATGTGCTTTGAGAAAGATCCAAGCTGAAGATTGGTGGTCACAATAAAATCTCAGGCATTGGCATATAGTGGTAAGTAGGACTTGTCCGGGGCAAGAGGGAGCAGCATTAAAACATTAAATTCAATACGAAAACAAGAGTATTGACTGCTTTGCCATAGAAAGATGGTACTGAGAAGTGTTGAAGTATCTATCTGGAATAGAATGATACAGTAATTAAACCAAAAATTCAACTTTTTAAAATGTTTATATCTTGCCAACCCCCAATGGTTCTTGGAAAAACATTCCCCTTGTGTTAGCAGACAGGTGACGGGACATACTGTAGGAGAGTGCTGTTTGAGACAGGGCTTCTCTGTGCAGCCTTGGCTGCCCTGGAACTTTGTAGACCAGGCTGACCTCAAACTTGCAGTTCTGCTTCCCACGTGCTGGGATTAAAGGTGTGGGGCCAGCACCACCTGCTACACACTTTAATGAAGAAGAAACCTCAGGCAAGCAGCTAAAGGTTGAACAAACAGAAAGTGCGAGGTCTTGAACTTGCAGTTTGGTTTCTAAAGTTGTGCCCTCAATTACCTTTCTAAACTGCTTTTACATGAACAGTGTGGTTTGTTTGATTTTCCCGATTATCAAAGTAAGACGTTTACTACAAATGTTGCAGTTAGCAAATGGGTGTGGCTCAGTGGTAGGAAGTCCTGGGTTCAAACTTCAACACAACATGCTTTGAGCATGAACATAAAGCAGAAAGGAAAGACCACGCAGTGCAATCAACATAAAAAGTTATAAACAAACTGGGCAGTTCTGGCACCAGGTAAAATGCCATCTGTCTGTGTGCCTGAAAAAGACAGGCACCCTTTACCATCA